CATTCCTGGCAAAACCTCCTCTTTGATAACGGCAATAGAACAAAATTCTTGTACCTTTAAATACAAAAGACAACAGGGAACAAACTTTTGAAAAGCCTCTATAAAAGATATGAAGGGGAGCTATGAAGGGGGTTTCATATTTTGTAAGAGTTCAATTTAAACAGGCAATGCAGTTTAAGCTGCTCTTGCAAAACTCCACTATCTACATGTGAATGAAGTAATATTTATGAAAAAACACTCAAAGGACATTTTGAAAAAGCCTGCCCTGAAAGCAAGCATGTAATACGCTGGCCAAATATATTGAGAGTCCCCATAAAATAACTGGATTACAGAGTGAAGACCCTATATCAACTACCAGCAAGCAGTCTTGTATGTTTACACACAAAACTTGGAGATTTATTTGTTACTGTATTACCTTTGCTTCTTTTCACAATGTTAAAAGCCTGTTACTTTTGCACACTAAAGTCACGAATAATTTTTTGAACTGAAACTGCTACTGACCTGTTGTTAGCACATTATGAGCACTAATGTAAGAAAAACTATACATAAAAAAAAAAAAAACACAACCCACCCCAACAAAAATGATACAGTTCCTGCGTTGAAAATACCATGCACTAATTAGATGTTTCATGCTATTTTCCCATTGCAGTCAGCCAGTTCTTATTTTTTCAAATCTCTCTGGCATGTTTTCATATTTTAATGAATCCTGAAATGTTATCTCTACATTCAGAGTACCTCAACTTGCATTACTTGGTATTTAGTGAAGAAAATATACGTAACAATACCTTTCTACATTCTGTCTGTGTGTAAAAGAAGGCTGATGATTTCTATTATATTCTTCCCGTGCTGCAAGCCTAGCTTCTGACACCTGTAAAATTTATGTATATAAAAAGTTACAAAATGAACAGATATCGCTCTGTATTGTAGATTAAATCTCAATATTAAACAAAAAGGGTGTATCAAAGGTCTCATGCTTTAGCTGCTCCACATAGAAAAATTATCACTTTCTTTGGATTGTTTTTTTCAGAAGAACAAGCATGACCACAGTACAGAGGCATGCTGCATAACAACATGAGTCTCTCATTGTGAATTTAAACTGCAAAAAATAAACAAATAGAAGCATTTCATTCTTCTACCACATGTAACACTCAGGGAAAATCTCAAAACATGATTATGATCAAGATAGAAAGGGGTATACTTTCCATTAATGCATGCCAGCAGTTATATTCCCTCTGAAGAACTATGAACTCATCCTGCACAACTGATGACAGTGAAAATACCCAAGTCTTTTGCGTGTGATTATTTTAAAAGCATGACAGCTCTTCTCTGAGTCTTCTACTTTGTTCCCACAAAACATACTTAATGGCTTCACAGTTAACAGAGCTTCAAGACATTTGTGCAAAACTGGAACTGATTTGTTTGAAGGGAGAGACAGTAAAATTCAATAGAACAAAAGACGCCATGATACAAGTGACATTCAAAATGAAATTTCACTAGGAATACCATTTAAATCTACACAACTGAGTGATTAACCACCTCATTTTCTCTTTATACAACTTTTCAGTAGTAACCATCACAGCAATGAAACACTTACGAACGTGATTACAACCCAGCCTGCCAACCTGCTGAGGACAATGGCACAACACAAGATACTCATTTAGAAAACAGAAAAAATAACACAAAATGTAGTGGATGAAAAACGCAGCAAGCTCTCCGTGAATACTTATCAATCCCAATTTTGTTACCTTACAATTATCTGACCAAAGTTCTTTAGACGAAAAGAAATTGCTGCAGATGTTCTGACACTACTGACCATCACGCTGATCCCCACAATCTCACTGTTTTGTATATCCCATTGCTTGCCTGTATCCACCAGATTTTCTCTGCCTTAATCATGGAAGATGAGGACATCTTGGGATCAGAACTATCCTATTTTGTTCAACATTGCATAATTTTGGTAAACTTCATAACTTGAATTCCTAAGTGTTTTGGCAATACAGTTACAAATGTCAGTTTTGCTCAAAATGTACACAGCCTTCCTTGACAGTTATACTTGAAACGTTCTCCTGACAGAAATAAGTGCTCCGCTAAACATAAACTATTAGACAAAGTTTACAAAACAGCAATCGCCAAAGATTTCCAGAACAAAACATACTTTTCTTTTTTTTCCAATTTTCTCTTAAATAGAGAAAAAAATCCCCAATATTACCACAGTCTTAAGCAGTGCTCTCTTACCTTCTCATCTTCCCACTGGAAAAAGTTACAGTCTTTTCTATCCCTACAAGCTGAACAAGCATAAAATCTTCTTCCTTCCTCTTTTCCTTGGCTAGTCTTTACAAACAGAAGAGCAGGACCTAAAGGACAAACGTAATTATATGATGACACACGGGACACCAACAGATCTGTTTTAATGCCTCCACTGCAAGTGTCAAGCTTCCAGAATAAAGCATTAACAAAGGCTGCTGTAAAACACAACC